ACAATTCACCACCCGAATGAAGCCACAATGAATGCCCTCGTGACAAGTACGCCGATTATTCATCTTTTAAGAGTTTCCCTACCAGGTTCCCACACAATTAACTACCGTTTAAATTTAACAATGAAAATAATGAAGCGTCGTTACATCAATATTCAAGCGGATGTGTCAGGAAACGTGTTAATACCATTGGATAGTGGCGTCCTCAAAGAACGAAATTGGCTCTCAGGAACAATTAAAGGATGATACAAAAAAATTATGAATTCATCTAACTCGAATCAGAATCAATTTAACCCGAACTGGAAAATAATAAATTTTTTTTTTATTTAAGAAAAAAAATAATAATTTAATATGTAACACGATATGACCGATCTTTCAAGTGTGTCATCATGAACAGGTGGATTGGTCTTCGTAAAACAAACGTCATGACAAGGACAACTCGCGATCGACAGAACAAACATTCAAACGTCATGGAGCTCATAGCGCGAAGACGCAATACGCGCTGACCTCTGATCAGACTAACCATATATTTCTTTTTTCTTTTTAATCGGGTACGCACGCACGCACGTCACTGTGAACTATGTGTTGTGCATACGTGGTCTTATTTTTTAATTATTTTATGCATCAATTGAAAGCGTGCACGGTAACACACACCAAGTTCTGATATTTGATGAGTCCTATCACACCGGCATTCAATGACTCCCCGATGATTTAAATTGTGACAAAGGTTTCAATCCAAAGGCGGTGACCTCCGATTCATCAAACTCCCTGTGCATCGTCAATCCATCCACGAACACGACATCATTATTATACTGCCTACAGCATTTTTCTATAATGACGTTTATCTTACCAAAACGAATGTTCAAAAATGTCACCTCCCATACGAGAAATGAAATTTATCCTAAATCATGCCAAGAAACGAATGAATACACAGTATATATGCGGTGTATATTACAGTTTGATTTTTTGTGATTCGTGATAATCCGACAAATAACTTGTTTTTTTTTACATGGGAAAGTTCGATAGTGACACCGTTTGTTCCCGTGTGCAAATGTTTATACACACAAACAATCGGTGAACGCGAGTGACTGGTGACAAATTATTATTATTTTGATCGATTATTGTCGAATGATTGATAATTAATAAATTTTCCTTGTTGGTAAGTTGATTGAGGTGGTTGTCCATTTTCGGTAATAATATTTTTAAGGTAAGTAAAAATTGTTA